CTGCCTGAATATCCTCTAGACTGGCCTCTGTGAACGGGGCGCTGTATCTTCCCAAGATGCAGTCTCCGCAGGAGAATCTCGAATCTGCTTGCTGATAAAGGTCACAAATTCAGAATTACCTTAGCGATGATGGAAGAGACTGCGAAACCTAAAAAGGAAAACAATCTGCGCGCCCTTTCATCAAACATCCGCGAAGGAAATTCAGAAACTACTCAACGCCAATGTCCGGGTCTGTGTTTCTCATTCTCCAAAAGTGCGTGGTATATCGCTGCGCTCTCAACGAGGCGGTTCTTGAGGAGCGGACCTTGTCTTGCGGGTTCCAAAACCATGAACGTCATCAAATCCCGTACCAGATCTTCATACCGAAGCCAACTAACACGGCCGTCGTACGATGGAGGGCATTTTGCATTCATCGAATAAAGGACCGGATAACCCCACATGATAATGACTGAGTGAGTGAGTGAGTGGCCACGGGGTAGCGCTCGGTCACTAGTAGAGTGCTCTCTTCTCGCTCGCGAGGCAGAGTCAGGCGCTAGATTATTCACGGCTTCCTTTTTTTCAGACAGCTGGAAGTCTAATAAGCCTGAGCTCAAGCTCTAATAAGCCTGAGCTGGAAGTCTATAAGCCTGAGTGAGAGTGAGTGAGTGTGAATGAGTGCAAGTGAGTCTGGACGAAAGTGCTGCGCCTGTCACGCAGATTGAGCCCCCGAGCCGCGCGCTCGACAACATCCAGCCTCTCTAAACAGCAGCTGCCACGTAAGCACACACCCCGATGCAGAAAATACTGCGCCGGCCACGAAAACTATGCCCCGTCTCCAAAGTGCTGCGCCTGTCACGCAGATTGAGCCCCCGAGCCGCGCGCTCGACAACATCCAGCCCCTCTAGACAGCTGCCACATGTTGCCCCTGCCACGCAAACACACACCAGATGCAGAAAATACTGCGCCTGCCACGAAATTGGCAAGCCATCTCCAAAGTGCTGCGCCTGTCACGCAAATTTAGCCCCCGAGCCATGCGCTCGACAACATCCAGTCCTTAGACAGCTACCAAATGCTGCCCCTGCCACGCAAACACACACCCAGATGAAGAAAATACTGCGCCTGCCACGAAACCTGTGCGCCATCTCCAAAGTGCTGCGCCTGTCACGCAGATTGAGCCCCCGAGCCGCGCGCTCGACAACATCCAGTCCCTTTACACACTTACCAAATGCTGCCCCTGCCACGCAAACACAAACCCAGATGCAGAAAATACTGCGCCTGCCACGAAATTGGCAAGCCATCTCCAAAGTGCTGCGCCTGTCACGCAGATGGAGCCCCCGAGCCGCGCGCTCGACAACATCCAGTCCCTTTAGACACCTACCAAATGCTGCCCCTGCCACGCACGCACACACCCAGATGCAGAAAATACTGCGCCTGCCACGAAATCTGTGCGCCATCTCCAAAGTGCTGCGCCTGTCACGCAGATTGAGCCCCCGAGCCGCGCGCTCGACAACATCCAGTCCCTTTAGACAGCTACCAAATGCTGCCCCTGCCACGCAAACACACACCCAGATGCAGAAAATACTGCGCCTGCCACGAAATTTGCAAGCCATCTCCAAAGTGCTGCGCCTGTCACGCAGATTGAGCCCCCGAGCCGCGCGCTCGACAACATCCAGTCCCTTTAGACACCTACCAAATGCTGCCCCTGCCACGCAAACACACACCCAGATGCAGAAAAACTGCGCCTGCCACGAAATTTGCAAGCCATCTCCAAAGTGCTGCGCCTGTCACGCAGATTGAGCCCCCGAGCCGCGCGCTCGACAACATCCAGTCCCTTTAGACGCGCTCGCCACGCAAACATCCAGTCCCTTTAGACACCAACCAAATGCTGCCCCTGCCACGCAAACACACACCCAGATGCAGAAAATACTGCGCCTGCCACGAAATCTGGGCGCCATCTCCAAAGTGCTGCGCCTGTCACGCAGATTGAGCCCCCGAGCCGCGCGCTCGACAACATCCAGTCCCTTTAGACACCTACCAAATGCTGCCCCTGCCACGCAAACACACACCCAGATGCAGAAAATACTGCGCCTGCCACGAAATCTGTGCGCCATCTCCAAAGTGCTGCGCCTGTTTCGCAGATTTAGCCCCCGAGCCGCGCGCTCGACAATATCCAGTCCCTTTAGACAGCTGCCAAATGCTGCCCCTGCCACGCAAACACACACCCAGATGCAGAAAAAACTGCGCCTGCCACGAAATTGGCAAGCCATCTCCAAAGTGCTGCGCCTGTCACGCAGATTGAGCCCCCGAGCCGCGCGCTCGACAACATCCAGTCCCTTTAGACACCTACCAAATGCTGCCCCTGCCACGCAAACACACACCCAGATGCAGAAAATACTGCGCCTGCCACGAAATCTGTGCGCCATCTCCAAAGTGCTGCGCCTGTCACGCAGATTGAGCCCCCGAGCCGCGCGCTCGAAGACATCCAGTCCCTTTAGACACCAACCAAATGCTGCCCCTGCCACGCAAATCTCCCAAATGCTGCCCCTGTGAGTGAGTGAGTGAGTGTGAGTGAGTGTGAGTGAGTGAGTGTGTGTGAGTGACTGAGTGAGTGTGTGTGACTGAGTGTGTGTGAGTCAGTGTGTGTGAGTGAGTGTGTGTGAGTGAGTGAGTGAGTGAGTGTGTGTGAGTGAGTGTGTGTGAGTGAGTGTGAGACAGTGAGTGTGAGTGAGTGGGCGGCGGGGGCGGGCGGCGGACGGCGGGGCCGGACGGCGGACGGCGGGCGGCGGGCGCGGAGCGGTAAAAGTAAGAACCCCACACAAAGATGTGGGGAAAAAGATCGTTGCGACGGCTTCCTACCACAAATAAGGTTGTAGACACACAGGGCCGGCAATACACCTTGTAGGTCCATCTACTCCGACGCATTTTTTTAGGGAAGAAAATGACCACAAATGATATGTAAGGCAGGGTTTGGTCCTTAAAGGATCATATAGTGCAAAGTCCACAATCAGCAAAGCGATGTACAAGTATGAGCTACACCAGGTCTTGAGCCATGGATGGCTCCGGAGATTGCTTCATGAGTGGATCGTGTGACACAAGCACAGAACAAAACAAGAAACACCCCCCCCAAATGTTTGGAGGCGGCGGCCCCTTGAAGGTTGGAGGCGGGCCCAACCGAACGAATCGAAACGAACCGGGGCGTGGCACGGAACCGGCTGCGAAACGAAACGCGCGACAAGGGCCGTCGAATCGAAAACACTGAAACGGACGTGCGCGCAAAACGGAACGAACCCAAACGAGTCGCCAGAACCCTGGGAAAGGCAAATTGATTGGCCGTGAAGTCCGGCCGGGAGCAGCAGGCCCTCCCATTGGAACACCCGGTCGCACTTAGCTAAGCCCCATAAAATTGTAAACACCGAAAACATGACAGGCGGACCTGCTAGCGTCTACGGGGGGGCTTGTTCGAAGGTGCTGCGCCATGGCTTCTGTTTTTTCACCCTTTCCGGTTCGCGGCTTGTTCGTTGGGACGATATATACTTTGAGGATTTTCGTTCAGACAATAACACAGAACAGCCATGACCAGGCCATTGATTGTACAAGGTTAGGCATGCTTGGGCGCCCTTTGCCCACTTCCGGCTTGCGACCTGGATCAGTGTCCTCTTGGTTATTGAGAACACCCATTGTTGGGAAACACCAACAACTGCAATATGGTCCTTGAAGAGAATGAGCAAAAATTGAAAGCTTGACGCGCAGCCCTTCCAAAGGCAAAGGAGAAGGCATCACAGTCGCCGGCGCAACTTAGCACGCTGCACGCCGACTGCTCCAAAACGTCCAAGAACTTCGTCAGAAACTCCACGCAAAGCGTGGCCAACGCGCACGGAATTCGCCAGCACCGCGAAGCGGTACGTTCCGAAAACATTGAACAAGTTACATATATATATATATATATCCCTCTCTCTCTCTCTCTCTCTCTCTCTCTTTACAGGACCGCAGGGCTGCCTCAAAGTTTGGCTTCGCAATCTTGACCCCAACCAAACGTACGCTCTGAAGCGGCGCAAAGGGCTTTCTAGCGGAAAAAAACAGGTAAATGGACGAACATGCCTAAGACGGCGTAAAACACACGAGCAGTATCTTTTTGGGCGGATTCGCAAGCCGCTCGCTGGCATCATCCCTTCGCCAGGGCCCCACTCAAAACGGGGACCGCATCAACTGCGTGCGGGGCAAGATTTGTCCATATCGGCACAGCTTAGTCGGTATGAAAGAGGTAAAACGCCCAGCGACGTGTTAAAGCCACAAGGGCAGTGGCCGGATCCTGTGTTCCTGCCTTGATCACCTGGCGCCTGCAAAAAGCTGCGCAACAAACAACCTTTCACGATCAAAAATAGCTTTGGCTGCGAACACGGACCAAAAGACGTTCCATGCCAATTCCCGTGCCATACGTAGCCTTGCCTTCCTGTGCAACTATTAAGCTGCAAGTTTAGTCCTTTGACAGACAGGCATCTGCCCCAGGTGTCGCCCTCGCCATTTGACACGATCTAAACGTCTTCTCCTACGCTGCAACACATCTCATAAAGACACTTTGACTTCCAACAGAACGATTTAATTAAACCTTGGCTGCCTGCCTGGTGAATCTCATTTACATGTATGAACCTTGTTTGATTCATTTCGCTGGAAACAAGCGCGAGCAAAGACACTGGTTCCCCGAGTGTGCATTTTTGCTCGGACCTCACGTGCATCAGGCGAAACGACAGGGTCGCAACGCTGCCGCTTGGTTTTGCTTCTGGCGCCCCAAATCACAGGTGGGCTCTTGAGCGGCATCAACTACTAAAAATGAACAAACGCATACTCAGTTGATGCATTCAGCAACTTCCCACACAAAAATAGGACTGTTGAGAAGCCATTACTGAAGCCAAAATTGGGCCTCCAGAGCTGGGTCCACCAACTGCTGCTTGAGTGGCCAAGCGCAAGGTGCCTGTTGCTATGCCTCTCAAGTTCTCTGCTCTCTGCCTCTCTCGGACTGTTTTTCCTCTGTGCACAAGGCTCTGGGACGCATCGTTCATAAGCAAATACTTGATAAGTCATTGACATAGCTTGCATCCTCTTCTCTAGGAGCCTATGACGTAGACATATTGCGCAGCCAATCTTCCAGCCGGGGCCATGCTTTCAACCACGGCTGAGACTTTGACACACCCAGCATGTCAATGACATGGTCTCAAATATTGGGCGTGTGGCAACCCAAATGGTCCAGTGTTGCAGGCCATGTTGACGTCTCTCCCCACTTGCGCGGAACCGCGAAGCAGATCTGCCACCTATAAAAAACAGCTAGCAACCAACAAATAGCTTCACATTCCACCAGCTCCACCCATGCCACCAACGGCATCCTCCAGAGTGCGTTCACTGGTCAGCCTGGCCAATATTTGACGCTTGGAAGCTGACAGCGAAATGTTGGCAAAATGAAGAGAAAGCATCTGCACGCAATTGGGCGTGTCCCACCCGTTTGAGGGCCCCCCAATCTTGAGGCACACCCAAATGTGGCCTTGAGTACACACCTACCAATACCAATACCTCTGACTCACACATCTGCTTACTCATTTCTGAACTAGATAGCTAGCTGAGCAAGTAGCCAGCTTATTCATGGCATGGCTAAAGACAGCCAGAGAAGTGTCCTACTAGCTATAGCTAGCTCAGCAGTTGGAACAAATGCTGATACCGCAAACTTGGTGAAACGCTGATGAAAAAAAGACTAAAAAGAAGCGCAGTCCTGAACAGTCCTTTGATTGACACTTCTGACCCCAAAGGTCATGCGGTAGCTGGCCACACGTAGGTCAAACGTCAGGCGAACGTCAGGCAGTTAGCTAACAAGAGCTCGAAGTGGGCAGCCTGATTTGGAGCGGCTGTCAATCGAGTCTTCGATTTGGGCACAAACCCCCAGCGATCTTAGGGGCCTCAATTATTGGTGAATCGCTGTGTGAACGAAGTGGATTTCAGCGCCTCCAACGTCAGTCAGAACGTAAAATGGCTGAGCCTCCATGTTGGGGACCCGCCCCGCCCCTTCCCCCTCTCGCCACAAATATTTCCAGTTGGAAAAATCAACCCGTATTGTTTCTCACCTCAAACAAACCCTCCGATTTGTACTAACATTCCCCCCTCTTGCAGAAAATCCAAGAGTAAGACTACAATTCTGAATTACAAACGGTATTGAGAATACATCTTCCGATTGCCATAGCAGATCTCTAAACAGTCCCGATACAACAAATTTATTACTGCGGCTTGTTTAAAACAATGTCCTGCCAAAGGGAAGCCCACAGTGGCAGGCCCCAGCCCCACCCTTGCTGTCTGAGGGTTGGGCCAACCAACACAAACCCTCACATGCCATGCCCCCTTCTTTTCTCATGTGCGCTATTTGACTTGCTGCAGCAAGTGTGTGTGTGTGTGGGCTTTTTAGGATTCGATTGTCAGGAGCTGCTTTTGCTCGTGTCCCACCCGCCCACCCTCTCTTGCTACCAGCCCATGTGCTGGAGTGTTACCCATCTGCTGGCCCATAAAATGGCTTTGTTTGTGAGATGGTTGTTTGTTTGCTAGCCCATGGGCTTGGAAGAAGACAGCAAGGGTGGAAGAAGAGAGGTGGCCTGCCAAAGGCAGGCCCTTACGCCCCACACCCAACCCAAACGGTGCGACCGCCACAGTGTCAAGCGAGGAGCGCCGCGCGGAGTTGAAAAAGCGCCTCTGATGAGGCTATCTGCCCACTGCCTGCGCTCGTCTGAGACGTGGCTTGTGCCTTGAACAGCGAGGGCCGGGCACTGGCGGGAGCTGCCAAGACGGCGCGGCGTTGCGCACGACAGAGCAACGCAAGCTCACCTTTGCGTGCTCGCTAGCGAGGTCTGCACGCTGGGGCCGGGGCGCTGTGAAGGCTGTTGCTGACCTCGTCCGAAACAGTGGCCGTAGGAACACAGTTTGGGCTGCTGTCACATTGCGCTGCGGGCCAAGCAGCCGCAGAGGTGGCTTCTTTTTTCGCAGTAGTGCGCTGGCAAACGCAATGTCCTTCCGGCGCGCTGTGACTTGAGACCATGCGACGGAGATGCAAGTGACGATGAGTGGCCCGGAATGAGTTCAGAATTCCTTCGGAATGGCACCGGTGCCTCGTTGGAGATCTTCTTAGACATGCTGGTGCTTGGAATGCCTTTTGCCTCGCGAACACTGCTTGCCGATGACAGTATAATCCGGGTTCGCGCGCGGCGCGCGACGCCCTTGCCAGGCGGTCGCAGGGGGGTTTTGGGCGACTTTTCGCGTCGGCGGCCGGAAAAAGGCCACCTGCCCTGTAGGCGTCGCTCCGTTCTGACCACTCGCACGGCGGCGCCTTCGTCTACCTGTAGCTGCCGGCGCCGTGGGTCGGAAAGCCGGGGCGCGCGTGGCCACCGACACGCTCGTGGGTGACCTCAGTGTCACTGTCAATCGATTTGCTGTTTACCCCACGATCGTGTCTGTGCCCACGTCAGAAGGAGCTGCCAGCTCGTGAAGACGTCGCCTAGTTTGAAACCTGAGAGTGCCGTTTTGTCCTGCGCTCACTGTTTCAAGCAGCTTGCTCAGCTGAGGAGAGCTGCGCAGCGAAGGAGCAAAACACGTGGGCACTTCGCTCGATAGTTGCCCATAACTGTGTGTCACGAGCCGCTTTCCTCTGCAGTTGCTCCGTTTGCGTGTGGCTTCTGCACCCGGCGGTCTTTTTACCCATGGTGGGACAGCACGACGGCCGGGTTGCCAGGGCTGTATTCTGGCGATCGCCTTGTAGCTTTCCTGGGTGATCTGCATGTGTTCACTTCAGCTTTCTGGCGATCGCCTTGTAGCTTTCCTGGGTGATCTGCATGTGTTCACTTCAGCTAGTTGAGAGCGCGCCAGCATTCGATTTCTTAGTCGGCGGCCTATGCTGTGGCCCACGGCAACGCGGGACAGTTTTTTTCCCGCGCCATTTTTCAGCTGCATGAGTCGATTTGAGCCCGGGCACCAGGGGTACTGTAATCACACAACGGCTGGTGAAGAAGGCCAGGGGAGGCGGGCTAGGCATGCGCCGAAAGCCGGGTGGCCAGCACATCAAGCACCGAGCCAGTGCGGTCGGCAATCACGACACTGACGATGGGGTCCGGGCCATCAAGGCAAGACCGGCCGAAGGCGAGGTGGACAAGCTGGCAGCAAAGGGTTGCATAGCGGCGGCGGTCAAGAAGCAAGGGCGCAGGGGTGTCTCTGGCCTGGCCCGGGCAAGCTGCCGCGGGAAGTCGGACACCGACCTCAACACCAAGGACGACCAAGCGACATCGGGAGGAGCGAAGGAGCTTGGGGTAAGTCCGCTCCTTCTGACGCCGGGCATCAAGCAAAGCGACGGGCCGTGCCCAGTCACGGCGCAAGGCGGAACGGCATCGCGCGTGAGGGGCAAGACGATGGTCCTGTCAGCTGGTCCACAAAGGCAGCCGCGACTGCGCAAGGCGGGCTGCGCGATATGGCTGCTCCTGCTGCGTCCCCCAGGCTTGCCGAGGTGGTCGCCAATGGCCGTCCTTTCTGGGGTGGGGCGCAGCTTGCGGTCAACGTTGGACTCAGCTGCCGGCTACCACCCCCATGTTGAGGGAGCACAGCTCTCCGCATAGCTCGGCGTGGAAAAGAGCGGCGAGCCTACCATGAGCTCGTGTCTTCTGATTGATGCCGTTTAGCGCCCAGTCCGTCCACCCGCTGGTCTGCGTTGTTGTCCTTCGCAGCAGCCAGGGCCTTAGCAGCCAGCCTCCTCTTCTTGCCGGGCGCCGGCCTTGCTGGTCAGCCATCGAGGCGCCGGCGCACAGCCGCCTGCCAGTAGGACGCTGACCTGCTGACCAACAGCGTGGTTGAAGCGGGAGCCGGGGTAGCCCTACATCGCCGCCTCCCCCACGCAAGCGCCTGCCCGTGGGCAGTGCGCAGGCGAGAGCGTTTCAGCACCCACACCAACAAAAGAGCACGAGGCCCAGGCGGCATGAGTGAAAACCTACGGCCTGAAGCACAAAGCATAAAGGCTCTTTGAGAGAAAGCTGCTTCGCTGTGGAGCACACCACCCCCATGTTATCGCATAACCAGCCGACACATCAGGCGCGCGCAACAGGGTTTCCTGCAACTTGGGAGTGCTTGGACATCTGAACCAAGCTGGTAACAAGCCCCTGGTTCAAGGCGAGGCTGAACCACTTCACTTCTGCATCAGCAGTAGCAAAGGCGTCTGCTGCGCAGGGCAAGAACGCAGCTTCGGAAGCGCCAGGCAAAGAAAGGAACAGCTGTATGCGAGTACAGGAAGGAAGGCGGACTTTTTCACGGACCTGAGTTGGCGCCAGGGCTCCCAAACGCCAGACGAAAGGATGCCAGTCGGCACTCCCTGCGTTAAAGTTTGCGGTAAGCCCTGGTCAGCGCCGCCAATGAAAAGCCAGCGAGAGGGCGCGCCAAACGTCAAGCGTGCAGGGCTGAAACTGGAAGAACACTGGCGCTCCACAGGTGGGGCCCCCGCTTCACAAAGAAACTGCACGCTTGCCCCGCACAACAAAGCGTCTGCCTGACCGCCCTAAGATGAGGGACCGAGTTGCACTTTGGAACCAGGGTTGAAAATTTGCTGCGGAGCGGTCTCAGGAGGCGCTGCGCGTGGCAACGGCCGGCCGTGCTGCAAAGCCCCCCCGCCATCTAGACTAGGCAAGGCATGAGCATGATATCTCTTCTCATCTCAACATAAGGCTCCATGCAAGGCGCAGGCACGCGCGGGGTAAACAACATCGCCACTGGGCGCATCTGATTTGGGCACAAGCAGAACTCGACGCTGTCGCCCGCCGCACAAACCGCAGCAGCGCAGGTGTCGGCAATTCGCACGCTTGCACTTAAGTTTCTGCCACATGAAACATTCGCGCAACTTCACGCGCTTGTCCGGGCCCTCTTCTTGGCTGGCATCTGCTACTCGCGGGCCGGCTTTAGCCCCAGCTTGGGACGCGCAATTGGTGACAGAAAAAATCTTCCCGGACAATGGCAGACAAAGCACCTCGGCAAGGATCTCCCGGTCAGCCTCTTCTGCCTCCCGTGCCGAGGCTGAGCGCCAGCCGGACCCTGGGCACCGATGCGCAAAAGCAACCCAATTATGCAAGTGTCCACCCCCGCCGAAGAGCAGAAGCATGCGCACGAGTGCAGAGGAGCTGAAACACGCGACGCGGGCTGCCAGCAATGTCCAAGCCCCACTCCTCGTCGCAAAGGCCGGCAGCCGCCGCGACTCAATCCAGCTTGGGCCCGCTCCTGGCGGCGAATCCTATCCGACGCGGCCCTTGTCAATGCGCAGGGTCGTTGAGCTCAGGAGTCAACACTACCACAGAATAGCTTTTCTCAGAAACAGCCAGCTTTGCCTGAGACCCCGTGGATGACAGCCA